GAGCGTTTCAATTATACACAATTATTTTCACTAGTTGTAGATTACGTTCGAGAAATGTCCAAGCTACAAAATGACTGGTTTTAATAATTCCCTCATCGGAGAAGAAAATGTCTCGCGACGAAGATTCAAAACAGAAGGTTCATCTTCGAGATGATGATAAGATGACCGAAGAGATATTCATCCGGAATTTAAGGTACACCATACGCCGATTCATCGAATCATTGCACGTTGGCGATGTGGACGCCGTTCCTCGGCGATCTCGACACGATCGTCGCGTTCATCTGCTGCTCGTCCTGAAAGTGCACGTCCTCCTTGACGACGCCGGTGCTGAGACTCGCGACCGTCGTCTGAGGAATCGGCGAGAGCATCGGAGTCACTCTCCACCAATCGGCAGTCGGCCACGTGGCCGGCACCAGGCTCCCCCGGAAGTTGAGATCCGGGAGAACCGGAAGCGGTCTTCATATAATGTGTCCACGCTGCAGGCCCGAATTCGAACTACCGGTGCTCGACGTCAAACTCTGAACGGAGAAAGGAGCGTTGTCGATCCTGCCGCTCGATGTCGAGGACGTTGTCGTCGTCGATGATTTTTCCGGCTGCTCCGTGGGTGGGGAAGAGGAGGAGGACGAAGAGAAGCGATCCTGAGAGCGATCCTCTTGATGAAGATGATGGTGATGATGATGATGCCTCTCCAAGGCGGTGGAGAAGTCTTCCTCGAGCTTCCGGTACCGGGACTCCTCCCGTTCCGCGATGACGGCGTTGTCGTCGGCCCTGGCCGGACTTGGAAAGGGCGGATCGTCCATCTTGGACGGCGGGAACGGCCTCTTGGATTCTTTCGGCGGGCTGGGACAACTGCAATTGGGCTGCAGGCAAGCGGCCGCTGACAAACCTGTCGGCCAGGACGCTATTGTCTGGTGGCTCGGATAGAAGGTGCCGCCGCTGTAGAGTGCCTGAAGGGCCAGATCGGCGGCCAGTTTGCCACCGTTAAAATCGTCGCCCAGCTTGTGCTGCAGCGGATAGAGCGGGTAGGGGAACGGCGGGAAGAAGCGCGGGATCTTCAAGTCCTCGTGCGACATCAACGAATGATGCGCGGGTGGTGCCAATGGCGGCAGGAGACCACGTGGTAGATTCGACAGACCGTCGCCGGGCGATATCAACGGCGTTATCGTGAAGCCAAACTTGTTCTCTTTCTTCACCAGAGACTTCGGCTTCCGGCGCGGCCGATATTTGTAATCGGGATGCTCTTTCATGTGAAGAGCTCTGAAAGATGAACGGTAACCTTTGAATATTGTTGCTGCAAATCAACTTGTGTTTCTTTTATGTGTTGTGTGGTTATTGTTTTGTCATTGATGTCATCAATCATTAATTAATATAATAACAATGATAATTTTCATAGATATTTTTTGTATATATTTAAACATCAAAAAATTTAACAATATATAAAATATTTTTTAAGAATTAAAATAAAAAAATATATAGATCTTCAGCTGTCTTCATTAAAAAAAAAAATTTGTTTCTCAAGTGCTAATTTCTCTTTTTAACTTCGTTCTGCCCAATTTTCTCGACGCGAATTCGCGGAGGCTCGTCGTTACGGCAGATAACGCCGCTGCTGAATCCGACATCGTTATACGTCAGTAAAGGGTAAGGGACAGTCGAGAAGGGTTTCAGAATCGCTTTTCGGAAGACGGCTTAATTGAATAGTTTCGCAACTGGAGAAACGCGATGGTAGTTTAGCCTACGCTAGTTTGGGTCCCTCCACAACATAATGCTGTGACCATCCCGTGATGGCAAGAATCGTTAAATCCTGAAGCAACAACTTTTTGTCATTAACAGGCCTTAATTTTAATATGAGCTTTAACTTTAACAATTTTCCAGCAACGGAGAAATTTCACCCAAAATTGTGTGTATGTTTTTTTACATTATTATATCATTATCAAAAATTCGCTTATCTTTCACAATTTTTAACATTATTATCATACATACTGTGTTACAAAAATCAATTCTTTTTTTTCTAAGAAGACTGTAAAATTACAAATACCTCGAAAAGTGGAACTAAAGTGAAGTGTCGGGACATCATGTATATATTCGCTTTTCATTCACGAAACACGATACGGACCCGTGTCATTCTTTTTATCATGTTTACCCTGCACTGCGACTATCGATTATCGTAGAAATAACCACCTTTTCACTATTTTAATAAACTGTGCGCTCTCGCCGTCTTGCATACAATGGGACGTATTATCGCGGTCCCAGGATACGACACGGGGCACCATAGATATTTGCGCTAAGGTAAGGTATCTTGTACACACACACCTCGTCCTCGTCTTCGACGAAGACGGAGAAAGAGAGGAAGGAACAGCGGTATCTCCGACACATAATACTCCATTATATACCTAAGAGGCGCACAAACGCAGTGCTTATTTATGCCTCACCTCGTGAAGATAAAAAAAAAGGAGAAGGGGGTGAGAGAGGAGGATTGTAGAGATACGTGGGCACCGCGGTTTTTCTGTAACAACGAGCGTCGCGAAAAAATTTACCCCAGGAACCACCGAGGACAATAACGTCAGAGAAATATCGAAGAATTTTACGCCTTTATAATAATACACAGTTGAAAAATTTATGTATTTTTGTTAAAAAAATATGCAGGTTAAAATTTTTGAGTTGAATATTTAACACATTCATGTGTTAATTTAACATATTGTTATTGTGTTAATTGAACTCAAATTAAATTATTAAAACAATTGAATAACAGTGTAAAAATAACACAATGTGCACATATTTTTAATTTTACACAATAGATATGTTTCGTATTATTAGTAACAGGATTTATATGTTAAAATTTACAGAAAAAAAATGTTGATTCTATTTTACAATAGGAGTGAGAGCGAATAGGGACCGTCAATAAGATTTTTCCAAATTACTTTTATCATTAAAAATATAATATATATATATGTTGATTTTATACATAATTTATTTTAAATTATTATAAAATTTACATTCATTTTGTGTTGAGATATTAACATAATATTAATGTCATCACATTTAACATATTATGTTAAATTAACATAATAATTTATGTGGACAGTTTGGGACATGCGATATATGTTAAATTTAAGTCAAATTTTCCAAATGTGTATATTTCGCGAAAACAAGATTTTATATATTATCCCGTTACTAATATTAATTTAAACCGTAATAAAATATACTCTATCTATATTGTTATATAATTTCGAAATGTAATCTTGATATTCTGTCTCGTAAAAAATATGAAATATTATTTAAACAATTAATCTTTCTCCTTTTTTGTGCAATTTAAAATCTTTTCCGCGTTAAATTTTTCTATTGTAATAAAATTAGAGAGAACAACGATAAATAATTATCACGATATTCTTTCCAAAATTCGTGCCCTGATTATTCGATTGACGCGGAAAAGAGTGCGAGCGGAGAAATTTTTTCGGGCACGAAATTCGAAATTTCAAGGGGATGTCGCGGCGGTAAATAGGGGGAAGAGGGAAGGTGGGGGGGGATAAAGCGGGGGCGCGAACGCCGTCGCGACCGCGGAATAATAATTCCGGGGACAATGTGTCCCGGCAGATAGCACAAAGCGTAAATCAGCATAAACATCGGTAAAGCCGCGCCGACAATAATTCAGCATAAATGCATAAACATCGGCCGTAATCTTTACAATTCCGACCACCGCCCCACCTGGGCGGCCGATAAACAACGCGCTATATCATCCCCCATAGGCGACATAAGCTCGCCGCGTCGCGACAAGGAACAATAACAATTAGTTACGATTGTCAACTGGAATGCCGTGCAACCGAAAGCGCTATTCGCGGAGACGGACACTTAATCGTGTTTCATTGCAAGAGTTTATTTCGAGAGAGTATCGGTGGATATCATGTATCTTCTCTTTTGTATATTTTTCTCATTATAGAAGTAATAATTCGTATTATTTTGTAATCAACTGGACTCTCTAAATTTTCAAATTTTTGCGGAAGCGAATAAATTTTCAAATTTTTGCGGAAGCGAATAAATTTTTATAGATCCAAAAATCGAGTAATTTTGTTATCGCTCGCGGCTTTAAGCTAAACAAGCAATTTTCACCTCGCCCTCTTGTATTTCACGTAATTGTAATCGACATCAAAAATCCCACTCGATTAATGAAACCAGAATTGAATCATAATTTAATGATATCATTCGATTTTTCGGCGCGACATCTCTCAAAGGAACGTTCATATGCGACATCAAAGCGCGTAAAAAGCCCGTTTCGCCGCGACGGGAGAAGCGAGAAATCGGGAAGAGGCTGCGGAACACACGTAGGGGGTTGAAACGTGAAAGCGGGGGACGAGAGGGATGAGAAAGAGAAAGAGAGAGAGAGAGAGAGAGAGAGAGAGGAATCGTTGAACGCGACCGGCGGCGGCGGCGGCGGTGGGGGTGCGGAGAAGCCTGGCAAATCCTTTTAAATCCACACAATTGCGACAATGGGGCTTTATTTGTTATCTCGGGGGCCACATTGTGAGTCGCCGTGAACGAACGGACAGATTACGTCGGGCCAGTGACGGCGCGGGTCCAAGGGAACCCCGACGTTCCTACCGACGACGACGACGCCCCGGCTCCAAGGGAACGACTTTATCCCGTCCCTCTCGTCCCCCTCCCCCCCCTTTCACCGTACGCGCACCCCTTTCACGTTTTCCCCCTTTTATTTTACGACCG